ACATATAATGTATTCCCAACTTCACTCAGAAGAAGCACAAACCTGGTCAGAGAGAAGAGATGGAAGCTGAGAGAACTTCAAGTGAAATAGGTTCAATGAGCTACTGAGAAAGTAGAATTTATTCATCTTTTAGGGGACATATGGGGCTTGTATAATAGTTAACGTGAAGTTGATTTGAATAAACGTATTTGGCAATGTAGTATGTGAGGCTCAGAAATCATATATATATATATACATATATATATACATATATATATGTATATATATATACATATATGTATATATATATAGTTCATGCCAGAAAGAAGCTTATAGTCTAATAGAGGCTCCCGTAGAGGCTCCCTATAGACTCCTCTTCCTATTCCTATCCCTTCATATTTTACATTTCCCAGGGTTCACTTTTTAACTTTCTGCACTGTTTCTGTTTCCTTAAATTAAGGATGAACTCATGTGTTTCGTGGCTGTAGCAATCCTACCATATAAATGGCTCTCAAGTTTGTGTCTTTAGTTATTAATTTTCTATTAAGCTCCCTTGCTGTGTATCCAACCTTTTTCTGGATATTTCCAAGAGGATCACAAGGATGAATAAATTTTCCTTTGTTCAAAAGTAGAATCCTTTCAACCTCTCCACTATTTATCTGGGTATAACCAATGATGAGGAAGTAGAAGGTAGAATTTATTAAGTTAATCTAAGTCCTGGTTTTTCTAGGACAGTCCCAATTTGTGTCAATTATCCCAGAAAAATTAGTAGCTCCCCTTTCACTCTGCCATGTATCCTAGTTGACTGAGAAGTATTCAGAGCATGAACTTTGGACTCTGGTAGACCTCAGCAGAAATTCCAGTTTTGCTACTTGGTAGCAGTATGATCTTGGGAAATTTATTTAACCTTTTTATGCGTTTCCAATTTTTTTATCTTAAAACGAGGAAAATAACCGCAACTTGAAGGGTTGTTTTAATGAGTAAATGATGCACCCTGTGGCACAAGGAAGATACAAAAAGCAATTATTTTATTTATTATTATTAATTATTATCATTACTGTTGGGTCTGAGGGTGTCAATCAGGGATTGTCTGGGTGGTGAGATGCCCAGAAAAAAGGCACGAGGCAGACTGTGTATAAATGCAGCAACAACTCTTTATTCATCCAAGGCCGGGGCCAGAGAGAGACAGAGAGAGAGAGAGAGAGAGAGAGAGAGANGAAGGCTTTGGACCTGCCTTCAGTGGAGCTAATGTGGAAAATGCTGGAAAGAATGAAACCATAAGAGATAAAAATGGCAACAATAGGCACCCCAATGCCAATGGTCACAACAATAAAGACCACCAGCAAATTGATGTAAGAGCTGTTGCAGGAGAGCTCAAGCAGGGGAAGGATGTCACACATATAATGATTGACAAGGTTGTTGGCACAAAAGGTCAGAAACACTATATTTCCAGTATGAGCTGTAGCCCCCAAAACCCCCATCACATCCACACCCAACAAAAGCAGTAAACACACCTGAGGAGACATGGTGACAGTATACACCAGTGGCTTACAGATGGCAACATAGCGGTCATATGCCATGGCTGACAGGATGAAGGATTCAGAAAAGACAAAGAAGCAGAAGAAAAAGAGCTGAGTCATACACCCTTCATAGGAGATGATGTTCTTCTTTGAGATAAAACTCATCAGCATTTTGGGGGTGATGGCAGTAGAGAAACTAAAATCTATGAAGGACAAGTTGAAGAGGAAAAAGTACATGGGAATGTGAAGGTGAGAGTTCAGTCCAATCAGGGTTATCAAGCCCAGGTTTCCCACCACAGTGAGCAGGTAGAAAACTAGAAACAGGAAGAAGAGGGGAATCTGCAGTCCTGGCTGGCCCGTTAAGCCTACAAGGGTAAACTCTGTCACAGAGGAGGTGTTATCTGCAGCCATTCTCCCCTGGAAGGTTCTGTGAGGGGAAAAGAAAAGAATTGCTTAGAGAAGGAGAGGGGGGAAAAAACCATTTTTGAGAATGGTATTTGAGCAGAGGGGTTTTTGAATTTACAGAAGATGGTATTTCCTTGTATGCGCATCTCTGTCTTTATGGTCCCCAAGTGCCTTGAACCATCCTAGTAACTGTGGGTGAAATTTGCCTCCAG